GCATTTCTTATTAAGGTATTTCATGCAGCCCCATGAAAGGAAGTGGGATGTGTCTTAGTTAAATTTATACTCACCATCCCCCTGTTGGGGGTAATACATTTTTTTTTTTTTTTTAATCTGCCTTCAGCTAAATTTTGTTAAGTTTCAAAGGGAAATCCTCTCAATCTGGTGTCTGAAGGACTCCAGTTCTGCAGGCCAGGATTTCGTTTATTTTTAGTGGGGTTTCTTACTTCCTGGCAGCAGCTGCTGACTGAGGAAGCCTCATAAAGTGGGTTGTCCCCCAGGCACCCCCCCATCCTGGGAATCTGCCCACTGTCCTCCTCTCAAAAGGTCTGGGTCTTCTGCCAGAGCTCACCTTGTGAAGCTGAGCAGGAGGGCTGCTTCTCCACGCTTGCATCTTAAACCCAGAGCGCAGTGGCCCACCAGACTTTGACCGCACTACCCCAGAAGGTCCCCAAGCTGCAGAGGGGAATTTACAGACAAGGGAAATGGAGCTGGCATACGTTGTGTACTTTACCGGGATCATAGCCAAAGGCAGTTCAGACTCAGCTCTTCTCTTCACTCAGGAACCCATGGGCTTTCTATGGAATGAGAAACTCCACATGCAGCCTCTTTGAAGTTGAATGCTATAGTTCCCTCGTATGTCTTATTTTGGTGTTGAGTCTTTTTTCCTTCAGTGATCCTGGGTTTGAAGGGCTAAACCAAGTGGTTCTTTATAGATGGGAAGGACTCCATTCTATCCCCAGGGAACTCTAAACAATGGGGTGCCTCTGTTTCTCCTTCACGCACATTTATCTCCAATTTGCTTCCTACAGCCTTACTTGGCATTGCATTAGTGAAATCAATTCGACTTGCTGTCTCTACTCCCCAGGCACAGAGTTGGCTCCGGTTGTGGGGTTTTTAAGTTTTTAAATTGACAGTGCTGATTTCAGCCCTACGTTGCTCCCTCCCCAGAAGGTCCAGCCACTTCTTTCTTTTTCGCTTCTGTCATCTGTCCTGGACCAGCAATCCTCTTGGCTACTATCACACCCAGCACCCAGCCCCAGCCCCATGGAGTGGTGGGCAGTCGAGGACTGAAGGAATCCCAGAAGCTCTGTGCCCTCCGCTCCCTCATGGGCCTTCAGAAGCCAGAGGAAGCAGGAAGCAGAAGAATGCCACAGTGGGTTGGGAAGAGTCTTCCTCTTTTAATATTTAGACTTTAAATTGAGTAACTTTTCAAGTATTTATTTGTGAAGAGCCTGTTCTCAGGTTCAAGGGCAGCTGCTATAAACCCGGATCTTCAATGAGGAATAAAATCTGAAGAGACTGACTCTCAGCTCCCTGGCAAGTAGGGTGACCAGATAATGTCATTCCTGGCTGAACCCCCACCCCCCACCATGGCTTCCCATCTCCTCTAGAAGGAAATCCAAGCTGCCCAGCCTCCAAAATCTGTCCCCTCTGGGCCTTGCCATCTCCTGCCCGCCTCAGGCCTTGGTCTTCTCCCCAGATGCTGCCTCGGATACTTCCACTTCTAAACAGCCTCTTTCTTGTTTGAGGTCTCACATTTCACCTACTCAGCCTGACTCTGGCCACCTGGTCTGGAGCAGCCTCGAACAAGTGCCCTGAGTTCAGGGCACAGGTCTGTCCTTGTCACTTTGCTTCTCTTCCTGTGTTTTCCCCCACAACCCTACTAAAAGCCACTATTCAGGTCCCCACCTCCACTTCATCTCCCTCCACAACTCGGTAGCATTCCCCAAAGTCTGCCAAACAACCTCCCATTTCCTTCTTTTCCCTCCTGTCTCTTCCTCAAGAAAAATCATCTTTCCCTGTGTCCTATCTCTTGAGGATCCAGTGTCAGGATAAGAACGGGGACTCTGAGACATAAATGCATTCAGCAAACCCTGAGGGACTGTGGTGAGCCAGGCACTGTGCTGGGCCCTCACTTACCCCAGCCCATGAATCTTAGCTTTTGAAATTGCTACGTGGGTATAATGATCCTAACCTCTCAGACCCTTAGGCTTCTTATCTTTAAAATAGGGCTAGTAAAGTCTATGGTGATAGTTAATTTTATGTGTGAACTTGGCTGGGCCACAGTGCCAGATATTTGTTCAAACATTATTCTGGATGTTTCTGTGAGAGTGTTTTTGGATGACATTAACTTTTAAATTGGTGGCCTCAAGTAGAGCAGATTGCCCTCTATGATGTGGGAGGGCCTCATCCAGTCGGTTGAAGGTATGGATAGACAGGCACCCTGCAACATCAGCTCTTCCCTCGGTCTCCACGCTGCCGGCACACCCTGCCAAGTTTGGACTTGCCAGCTTTCCTCACATGAGCAAATTCCTTAAAATAAATCTTTCCCTGTGTGTATATATATCCTACTGGCTTTGTTTCTCTGGAAAACCCCAAACTAATACAATTACCTTGTGGGATTTTATAAGCTCCATTAGCACTAATAATCTTTGAGTGCCCCTAGTGTGCTACCCACCCTGCTAAGTGTTTACCATACATTATCACAGGTAATCGCCACTGTAACCTTATAAGCTGATGTCATTCTTATGCTCCAGGGACAGCAAGATGGTGGATACTTAGATGGCTGTCACTCACAGTGAAGACTGGCTTGACAGTGGTTTGAGGGGACAGTTCATAGAGGAGAGACCTATGTCTCTCCTCTACCTGGACTTTGTATGTTCTCATTTAGAACATGTCCACTTAAATAACTTCTCTCTGATAAGTTCATACACTAAAACAAGCCGCCCGCATGGCCAGCTTCCAGCAAAGCAGAAGGTGGGGGAGAGCCGCAGCTTGTAGGGTACTGTGGTTTACGGACCAGCTGCCAGGGAAACGCCACTCCACATTCACCACAGAACTGGCCCTGTCCACCCCAACTCGGCTGTCGCTCTCGCTGTGTGGCGCGGTGGCCTTGGCCTGCTCTGAGAAGTGGGAGCCCCCGGGGAGAGGCTGTAAGTCCTTCTGTAATGATTCTCTTGGCTGTCCACGCTAGATGTGTCCCCAGAAACTTCCCTTTACCTATAAACAAACTTTATTTGGCCCTTTTCTTTCCAATTAAAAAGAACAGTTTTTTAAAAAGTTTTAGAAAAGACAGATAAGTGGGCAATTTTCTTCCATGCAAATTAGACTGAATTGTACGAAACCAGGGTCCATTTACTATATTCCTTTTAGCGTTTTGCTAAGAGCTGTTCCATGTTTTCTTTTTTGACGTTCCCACAATCCTGTGAAATAGGTATTGCTTGGCGGATGATGGCACAGTGGCTCGAGGGACACTCAGACTTGCCCAGTCACACAGCTGCAAGTAGTGTAATTGTTATTCCAGTCTTGCTCCCGGGAGGGCGCCTCCCCAAGAATGAGGGCTTGGCAGCTCAGGGGAGGGCTGGTGACTCTGATCATTCCCTACTTCTACTGGGGAGTGTGCCTCAGTGGAAAGCCTGAAAACAGTGGGACTATTTGCTTTCTTTCCCTGAACTCATTCATTTCCTCATTCATTCATTCAACGAGCACACACACTCTGTGTCAACATGTTCTAGATGCTAGAAATGAGACACAGTTCCTGTCTGGCCAAACACTGGGTTGACATTGTGCGGACGGTAAAACACTGCAAAAGCCAACTTCAGCAAAACCTTCCCTGAAGGAACTTACTTTCTCTCTGTCCTAAAAACTCTTAATGCTGGTTTTTGCTAAGACGTGTCCTTGTTACTATGCTGTTGTGTCTGCTTGGTTAACATTTATTTTCTATTAATCCTTTCCAAAAGCCATGCTTTCTGAAGCCAGGGAGAGTACATATGAATTCCTGGAGAGCAGAAGTCACGCACTTACCGGCTGCTCAATAAATATGCTCTGACGTCATGCCAGTCATTTCTGATGCCCAGTAATTTCCATGGAATCAAAACGGTCACGCTCACACAAGTCATCAGTTTTATTTTGAAGCATTGAGGTGCATGCTCTCAGTTTTCCTATCACAGTTTTTTTCTCTGGGATCTAAATCCGACTGTGAATCCCTGAGTGCAGAGCGATAATCTATGATATAAGCTGACACACAGCTCTGTGAATTTCCTGTGCCCGCAACCTAGGGAAATCAGAGAGGTTTGCCAGGGATGTGTTAGCTCTAAGAACCTATTTCCAAACTCCGTGTTTGCTGTCTCTGTCTCTCTCTTTCCTCTCCTTCCATCTCTCACAGTCCCTTGCAGTGTGATTTTTCATACAGTAACTTCTGGGCTGTGAACTAAGACTGAGGGATAGTGAGAAAGGTCATTGCTCCCTGCCTATTGTTCCTTAGGGTTCCCAGACCCCAGCTGCATTCTTGTTTAAACACAAGACTTGTTAAGTACTTCCTAAAGCTAGATGTTTGGAGAAGGAGAAGGAAAAGCTGTAGGAACTAAACCAGCTGCTGGGCTGGGGATCATAGTACAGAAACTACCAAGGGCCAGTCATGAAGGCGGGGACAAGGCAGTGAGGGAAAATATAAGTTAAAGAGCCCCCTTTCTCTCGGGGCCGTGGGAGCTCATGCCTGTCCTCACCTTGGCAGCCCTCCAGCCTTGTTTGACCTTGGAGCTATCCCTTGCAGGGCAAGGGAGAATTTCCCTCAGCAGTGCCTGGTCGTTTGCCAGGAGGCCTGGTGCCCTGCCAGAGTCACAGGTGATTCTGACAGGCTCCTCACTAGCTGATTTCCAGTCAAGGCTGGGCTGGCCCCAGAAAGAGGCCCTGACTGAAGTTCCTTGAAGGGAAACGTGGGAGGTGGATGTGGGGCTGGGGAGCCCTTCTCTCCCTTCCTGAGATGGCCCCCGGGAGGGGTATAACCCCTCCACTACCCTCCCACCTAATCATAGTTCTCAAATATTGGGTGGGTCCTGCTCTCAAGAAGGGATGGCACCCCCACCCCCACATGCCCGAGGCTGGCACAACAGCCAGATCTCCTGCACAAAAGTCTCTCTCCACCTGGCCTATCACCTGATCTAAAATTCACCCCACTGTACTCTCTCTGCTAGGTCCAGAAAACCCTGTGAGGATGAACAAGCATCATTTGAGAGTGTAAGATTTAAGCTGTGCGCTGACCGGCAGGTAAGACCGTCCAGCGTGTCGATGCCAGCTAGGAGACTGCAGGGCTTTGAGAGACGGGGGGGGAAGAACTCTGCAGGGGGGAGGTCTGAATGCATAGGTGGGTCAGAAAAAGCTGCAGCGCCGGGTTCTCAATAGACATTTGTGCTGATAAAAGTGGAAGAGGAGAAAGGTTGTGAGGCAGGACAAGGCTGGGCATGTAGCCCAGGGGGGTAGCAGGGCCTGTGGGTTCTGGCTGAATGGGGGTCCGTGTCCCACTGAAAGAGGCAGTCGCCAACCACTCCCAGCCATTGCTGCTCCATGAGAATGTGGCCCCCACTGGACAGCTTTGGCCTTTTTTTTTTTTTTTTTTTAAGGAGAAGGGAAAAACCATAACTAGTTATTTTTTTATATGTTGGCAACTAATTTAATTATTTACAAACTATGTATGGGTTTGCAGAGTACGAGCTAAATAAAATCCATGGGCCTTATTTGGCTATTAGGAAATAGTGGAAGAGTGAAGGAGGAGACTGCCCAGGACCATACAGAGGGCCGCTGAGACACTGTTCTTCCCAGCTCTAGTGCATAACAGAAAACGATTTAACAGGCGGGAGGCCCTTCATGATCAATAAAACCCATTTAAGCCAAGAGCCAAGTGCCATATTGTCAGCCTCTTTACACCTCAGATCCATGCCTTGACCCTGAAAAAAAAAAAAAAAAGTTCAATTCACTCTTTTGTCTTTTTTCTCCTCTTCCAAACTAAGAATTAAAAAAAAAAAAAATAATAATAGCAATTAATTTTTTTAAAAAATAAAGCTAAAATGCAAAGCTTTGGCAGGAAAATTTCTCTGGAGAGGCAACACTTAATTCTAGAGGAGACCTTTGCCTCCCAGTCATTAGTCAGGAATGTTCCAGGTGAATCTCCAAGCCAACAACATTTAGAACTTGGATCAAAGCCCTGAATGACCTTCAGCAAGGTTCTTAGTCTATCTGATTCCCTTCTTTTGCTCACTAAGAGAAACTTCTGTCGGGCAGAAAAAGCATAAATCCAAGAATGGTTACTCATCTTCCAGACACCTTTGCCTCAGTTTACTCCTCCATAAAACAAGTGGAAGAAGCCTAAGGCCTTTGAGAGACAAGGGTACATCACAACCTTTACATAGAGTGCTCCCCTCTGTGGAATTCAGGATTGCCCTCCAGCCAGAGAGTGAAATGGGTGATGTTTGAAATCTCTGAGCTTCATCCTACCTCCTCCCAGGTCTGGTTACCTGATGCCCTGGCTGAATTCTGGATGCTCCAGTGACACTTTACTGAATAAAACTTTGTTATTTTACTAAGTGACATAACAAGGTATATGTAAATGAACATAAAAAGATAGAGAATATTATATACACATGAATATCACTTGGACCAAAAACTACATGATGAATTTGTGCCCCCCCCTTTTTAAAGATTCAGAATGTTTTAACCACTCATTTTAGAAATCACATTCAAGACTTTCACACTGAATGCCATGAAGTGTTTAGTGTTTGGAACTATCTGCTCATCCTGTCTTGGAAGCAAGTTTATTTATTCAGCATAAAAGGAAGTATTTGAATTCACAGACTGTGATTCTCTGCAACTTTTAAAAGCAGCAAAACTGGACAGGCAACTTTTAGGACAATAAGACATATATCTCTGTTCTGAATACCACCTTGCTACCTTAATGAAGTTCAACATGAAAAAGGACATGAGTTTTAGTAAATATAGGGAAATATTTAGGTGATAAAAATGAACTCTTTTTTTCTAAAATCCCCTTCTATTGCTTTCTTCATTCAGTTATTTAGTTTTGAACCACCCTTTTGTGAAATAACATATAAACAAGGTTTTTGAGAATATCACATTATCGCCTGGGGAGAATAGAATGACTTTCCCATCCCATCTTTAATAATACTTTAATAATAATAATTTTAATAATAATACTTTACTTATGTTATTTTGGACCCAGCTGGCCTTTTTCAATGACAGACTTGCAAAAAAAATTAGGGTAAGAATGGGGCGCCTGGGTGGCTCAGTTGGTTAAGTGTCTGCCTTCAGCTCAGGTCATGTTCTAGGGTCCTGGGATTGAGCCCCCATTGGGCTCCCTGCTCAGAGGGGGGTCCGCTTCTCCTTCTCCCTCTGCTCTTATTCCTGGGCATGCTCTCAATTTTTCTCAAATAAATAAATATGTAAATAAATAAACAAACAAATAATAAATAACATCTTAAAAAAAAAGAAAGAAAAATTGTCGAATATGCAGAAGAACTGAACCAGAGAAAAGTCCAGCAACTGCTCAAAAAGATGATGCACAAGGATGAGAATGGAACAGAAGGCAGGTTGAGCCCCAGCTATCCCAGTTCTGGGCAGAGGGCACACCCGTCCTTCCTGCATCTCACCGGGGCTCCTCTCTTACATACTTTCTCCAGGGCACACTTTCGCCCTGTTCCCAGCTCTTCTGCCTCTGCACCAAGAAGCCAACTGATGCTCTTTAAGCCCTTCCTGGCTTCTTCCTCTCTCCCAGGTGATCATTTTCATCACTCCCTCTAGATTCTTCCCTACTACGTACAGCCTTGCTTAATCATTTGGTAGCTACCGGTAAGGAATGACGTGGCCCAGAGAATTCCATGGAAGCTCTCTTCTCCTAAGCTAGTGAGTGGGAACCAGCATCACGCTCTGCCCAGGACGGATGGGCTGTTGATGCTGTACTATCCAAGCCATCTATGGGCCATAGGACTTTCCTTTTTTCTCTTCTTAGACATAATCTGCCATTCTTCTACCTTCCTTTACATAGATCGTGTTTTTCCTGGCCCTTCTCTTTTGCCTTGGCTTCTAGACAGTGGAGTGATTAGAATGTGCTGATGGAACTTTTGGTCCTTGTTGTAGATCCTGGAGCTGGAGGCCCCTGTACGATGGCTAGCTACTTCTACAGAGTTTTTCCCTTGCTGGAGTCAAGCTTGCCACATGGTCCTGTCCACAATGGGCAGCTCCTGCACAAGACAAATCCATCACCTCGCTTGTTCATTTTGCTTCCTCTTTCTGGAAGTTGAACAGGTTGGCTGGTAGGAACAAACAACCTTGCATTGAGAGCACGTAAGTGACTTTCCACGGGCCTCGAGGTGCTTTTCCTTCTCAGGAATGTCAGTTACCCCTCTTTCTGGATTTCATTCGAATGTTATATGCAATTCTGTTGTGCTGCTGTTCTGTTCTTTTCTAGGGGGTAGATATTGCTATGCAGGTACTTGTTACTTTTCATGCAGGTCAGCTACCAAGGTTTAGCTCTCTGGTGCAACCAGATTCTGCTTGAACACTGGCCATTCACCAGATACGCAGTGTTACTAAATTTCTCCTCCATCACACAGCTTGTTGGCATCAAAGGGTCAGATAGAGGCAGGAAATTGATCTCAGAACCCAGTCTGAGGGTGTACCAAGAAATTAATTTTGGAGAGAATTGAGATTGAAGTTAATCACTTGTTGATTTGATGAATGTGTACTAGGTCTCTACCATATGCAAGGCACTGGGTTTATAAGCAATGACAGAACTAGAAAGCAGTTTAACCATAACAACAGATGATTTAAGAGTTCCAAGACATGGAGACCCAAGAACTCTTTGAGTAAGAAATGAAAACTATCCAGAAATAGTAATTTTACATTTTATATATTATCTCTTCTCCTACCTTTTCCTTTTGAAAAAAAAAGTCCGAAAATAGGACTCTTTTATCAATGAAGCCTGACAGAAGAAGCAACATGGGAGAAGAATCAGTGCCTGTCTGGTGTAAGATTACACAGGCACAGGAGGATCCATGGGGAAATATGACCTCTTCTCTCTGTGGCCCTTGGACACTAGATATTGGGGATTTTTTAAAAAAAATTTATTTATTTATTTATTTATTTATTTGAGAGAGAGAGCAGGGTGGGGTTAAAGGGAGAGGGAGAAGCAGACTCCCTGCTGAGCAGGGAACCTGACAGGGGACTCAGTCCCTGGACCCTGGATCATGACCTGAGCTGCAGGCAGATGCTTAACCAGCTGAGCCACCCAGATGCCCCAAGATTTATTTATTTATCTTAGAAAGAGAGAGAGAGAGACAGAGAGCATGCTAGCAGGGTGCAGGGGGGCAGAGGGAGAAGAAGAGGGTAAGCAGATTCCTTGCGAGCTCAGAGCATGTTTCGGGGCTCTGTGTGGGGCTCCATGCAGGCAGGATCTCATGATCCTGATATCATGACCTGAGCTGAAAGCAAGAGTGGGGTGCTCAACCAACTGAGCCACCCAGGCGCCCCTGATCTTGAAGATATTTTAAGGGACTGAACAACTTAATCAAGGGAAATAAACATGAGTGAAATTCTGAAACTTAATTTTTGAGACCAAGAACTATAAAATTGACCAAGACCCTAACTTAGATAAGATACCCAGTGTTAGCTAAATTCTATTGAAAATTATATTATCACAGAGGTGCACTAGCTTAAATAGAAGAACTAGAAAAAAAATTAATGCTAAAATAAAATGAAGAATGGAAGACTCATTTCAGATTTAAGAGTTATTTGTAAACATGTTTACAAAGAAATTAGTGCAAAAATCAAAAATAAAATCAAAGTGAGCTCAGGTCTTCTGGCCCATTGGAAGTTTGGAATTCTAGGCACATCTTTGGTGATCTTGGAAAGGGAAGCCTGTGAACTGGGGACAGATATTCAAAGTTTAGATCGAAGGTTTTGTTGCCTAATGAAGAAGACTCCACCCAATGGAGGAATCCTCTCTATGGCAGCTCCAGCTAAGTGCTTTCTTTTTCAAAGAGCAACTGTACAATTTCCACGAAGTATTTTTTCAACCTCAGGTTTATTCTAAGGAACAGCTTTTCTGATAAGATATAAACTCCAGACTTAGAAGAGCTTGACCCACCCCATTTTAAACGACACTGAGAATTAACATCGTAGTTTGTAAAAGATAAATTCCCAACTCTTTTTTATTTTTGTTTAATTTTACCTCCTGGAATGTTCTCAGTTCTCTCAAGAGATTGTAGAATTCACTCTCCAAGTGAAAGCAATTTAAATTCATTTAAAAACTATTTGGGACACCTGGGTGGCTTAGTTGATTGGGTGGCCAACCCGTGCTTCTGGCTCAGGTCACAATCTTGGGGTCTTGAGGTAAGAGCCCCTCATCGGGCTCTGCTCTCCGTGTGGAGTCTGCTTGAAGTATTTTGTCTCCCTCTCCCTCTGTCCCTCCCCACTGCACGCTTAAGCGCATGTACTCTCTCTCTCTCTCTCAAATAAATTAAAAAAAATTAAATTAAAAAATAAAAAGTATTTTTAAAAACTATGTGCTACAGGAATTTAAAGAAGCCCAGGTAAGAGCTTGAACCTGGGTGGCAGTGGTAAGGATGAGAGCAAAGAAGAAAGAAGTGGGGTGTCTGGGTGGCTCAGTCAGTTAAGTGTCTGCCTTCAGCTCAGGTCATAATCCTGGGGTCCTGGGATGGAGCTGGGCCCACACTGGGCTCCCTACTCAACGGGGAGCAGGCTTCTCTCTCTCTCCCTCTGCCTGCCACAGCCCTGCTTGTGCTCCCTCTCTCCCTGTCACATAAATAAGTAAAAAATCTTTTTAAAAACAGTCTTTAAAAAAAGAGAGAGAAGGAAGAGACATTCACAGACACGAGAGATACTCAGAAAGAACCACCAGTCTCAGAGAGTATTAGATGCTGAGGAATGATTCTAGAGGAATCAAAAAAGGTTGAGGTTTTGAATCTAAGTGACTGAAAATGTTTGTATTAAGAGGGAATGGGAAACAGAGGAAAGATCCATTAGTAGATGAGGAGGAGGTTGAGGTAGAATTGGTTGGTTCTGATTTGTTTACCTGTCGAGTTTGACGTGACAGTTGTATTTACAGTGCGGCAAAAGCCAGGCATTGGCGCTATCTGCCTTCCTTGCAGTCGTGTTCCTTGGTTCACTATTGGCTTTTACCCTTGGCCTCCGGCTGACCAGATCCAGATGTGAAGTTAACTCTCAGCAAGCTGAGTGACTGAGTTTAGCAGCTGGTTAGCTACCAACACAAAGCACAATAAAGTAAATTGGAGAGGGTTTAAAACCAAGAGACACCATCAAAATGTTTAAGCAGTACTTTTTTTTTTTAATTTTATTTATTTATTTGGCAGAGAGAGACACAGTGAGAGAGGGAACACAAGCAGGGGGAGCGGGAGAGGGAGAAGCAGGCTTCCTGCCAAGTGGAGCCTAATGTGATGGGGGCTTCATCCCAGGACGCTGGGATCATTACCTGATTCCCAGGCAGAAGCTCAACGACTGAGCCACCCAGGCACCCCTAAGCAGTACTTTGTGACAAAGTGAGGCAATATCTGCTTAAACAATAGACCAATTAAATGGTCAACCTTCCACCTATTCACGAAGTGAATAGTTATCCCTTGTTGAGCCTTAATGGGGAGACCAGGAATCACTACCCAATCTCCAAAAGGAAAAACCATCATCAGGAAATGGGTCTCAGTAGCTCCTTAGGGAGCAGCTGAGTTTTGGGGTGGAAACTATAAACTTATCACCAGATAATAAGCACCTTGCTAAAAATATGTGTAGGTTTGCATATTCAAATTGTCCCTATCAATATCTCAATGAGGTTTTGTTTTGAAATAATGTAGATTTGCCTCAATCAAGAAAAGCAAATGAATCTGAACTTTAAAAGCTGGTAAACCAACATTCTAAGATGTTATATGTGTTTTGACTATGTTAACAGAATGCATGTTTCTTTTTAAAAATATTTTGAAATGCATTCTAAACATAGAGAAAGAGAGGATAAATACCAAATACTTACATGTATACCATTTGTATACAACAAATGCCATATTTGTTTCTGTTTTTTTTTTAAAGATTTTATTTATTTATTTGACAGATAGAGATCATAAGTAGGCAGAGTGGCAGGCAGAGAGAGAGAGAGAGGAGGAAGCAGGCTCCCTGCTGAGCAGAGAGCCCAACGTGGGGCTCCATCCCAGGACCCTGGGATCATGACCCAGGCTGAAGGCAGAGGCTTTAACCCACAGAGCCACCCAGGCATCCCTTGTTTCTGTTTTTTAAAAGGAATTGAAATGATATAGAATTTGATGTTCTACGTCTACCTCAGCTTCCTTTCCCTCCCCTTGTTTCTCAGAGGTTATTGCTATACTGAAATTGGTATGTTCTTTCTGTGCATATTTTCATACTTTTGCTATATGCAAATGTCCCAATATGTATGATATATTATTTTGTATGTTCACAATTGCACACAAATGGCATCCCATACTATTTTCTTATTCTATCATATTTTTACATATTACAGTGTATTTATCCATTCTGCCACTTAGAGACATTTAGGCTGTTTCCAGTTTTTCCTGGAATGAATTCCCTTGTACACATTTACCTGAATGTGGGAGTTTCTCTAGAATATCTTAGTAGATGTGGAGTTACTGAATTTCAGGAATTGTACATCTTTACCTTAACTAGAGAGGGCCAAGTAATCCCCCCAAATGATTGCTCAGAGGACACCCCTCCTAACACTGTATGAGCATTCCTAATATTCCACACTAGTCAAACAGGTTAATTTTTGTCAGCCTAGTGGGTGTTTTAATTTTCATTCCCTGATAAAGAGTGAAGCTTCTTTCAAAATATCCAAGCTCTCTTAAGTGAGCTAGGTTTGCCTCTCATCAATCAACTGAGACAGAGTGTTCCAGAAAGGGAGTATAAGAGTCAGAGAAAATTAAAGCTAGGACCAAGAACTACTGCCAAAGATAGATCAATCTGAGATTAAGGTAAAACATATTTGAAGTTACAGTCAGGGGAAGGCATGAATGATTTCTAAAAATCATTTTGCTGAGCACCTTTCAGAGCTTATCTAATTAATACATATAGGACTAACAGGTAATTGCAAAGGATTATCAGTAAAATTATGAGCAAAATCAGCGTCTGGACAGAAACTGGACCCCAAGTCTCTAGTTCTTTGTGATGGCATACACATGATGATAATTTGGGGGCATTTGTTGTAGGTGCTATAGCATTCTCCTGGGTAAAGGAAACATGTTTAGTAGAAGGTGAGCATCTTGAAATTTACAGTTAACTTCTTAGTCTGAAGAATGGGAGATAGGCTTCTGTACTGGGGGAAAACGTTTTGACACAGATAAACCCAGTGCTGCCAGTTACCACTGTGAGGCTCTCCAAGTCTCAGTTTCCCAGAATCACTACAGGATTGAAAGTAACCACTGTTTCTAGTCTATTGCGCCACACGCACACCTAGCTATGTAGCAAATTCATGATTGTATCAAAATAATTGAGCAACCACTACATTCCAGGCATTGCTGCAAGTTCTGGGCACACAGCAGTGAACATTAGATCAAGTTCTACCTGTCAAGAAGCTCACATTCTGGGACAAACAATGAACAAATAATCCACTATGTGGAATGTCAGATGATAAAGGCTGCTGAGAAAACGAATGTCGTGTAAAAGGGATAGACATGGAAAGGGGTCTCCTCGAAACAATCTGTTTTCTCCTCCTGCTCACTGCCAGGCTGCCCTGGGAATCATCTTCTGAGTCACTGGAGTTCTAAATTTCTTGAACTGCGAAATGGGAAAATAACAATGGAATTGTGTGTGGTTTTATTTACTTGCTAAAACTGAAGTTTAGACAGTCTTTCCAAACTTTGATTTGTTTAGAACTTTCACTTTAAAGAGAAGGAGGCACGATTCCTTACTGATTTAACATTAACAGAATGGTTGAAAGTGGTCCAAAATTATACGGATTTTAGTGGTGTGAAAAAGGGCTTGGATGAAAAAGAATATGTATATAAACAAAAATATGTAAGGTACAAAAAGCAATGCATGGAGACTCTCAGGAGGCCTGAAATTTAGACTATATTCTTCCATAGCCATGGAATCACATAGTCTCTCTGTGCTGCTCAGTCTTGTCCATACAGTCATGCTAAGAGGCCATCAATCCTACAGTTATTTGACCCCCTTCTTTCGTTTTTGAGAACTGAAACGCTGATGGTTGCATTTATTTGTTTTGATTTTTTTAATCTGATGTTGGACTGTAACAATTTCCTTTTTAGCTATAGAAGTCTCTGTTGCAAAGAAGTGCAGTTCCCGCTCAGCCTCTCTTTTCCAGGATGGAGAATGAGTAGAAAATCTTAACAACTCAAGGGCTCCCAAGACTTGGAAAAAACTCTGAATCATTTCTTTCTTGTCATTGCTTCATGCTTCACTTCTTTGGGCAATGCTATGAAAGCACATTGTTCACTGTTCTGGTAATGTTAAAATGACCCATAATATGATATTGGAAAATCACCAAATTATTTCACAGGTGAATGGAATGTTAAAGTTGCAAGCCAAGACATTTAGTTAAATGTACTTTTTCATCCTGTTTGATGCTTTTAGTATAATTAATCTTGTATAGTTATAAAGACAAAGTTGCATTTTTTCCAAAGATCTTCATGCTCCTTTCAGTTTGTCAAGAGTAAGTCTTAGAAAACCATCTTTTAAAAGTGATGTTGCTTTAAATTGTTTCACTAGGTCTAATTTTTCAATGTCATCTTTTGTTTCACATTAAAGAAAAAAACCCTTCTTGCTTTATTAAAAAAAGATTTTTTTGCTAGATGGCTTCAGTTTTTAATCTTCTTGTGAGTACAATCAGATGGCAAAGTACGCTGGCACATTGCCTTGTATTTATTTGACTCCCTCACCAATGTCAAACTCTAAGAGAAAAAAATAGAATTCTGTGACTAAGTTTGTTTTCTGAGATTCTGCAGAAGAGTGATCTGAGAGATAGTACCATTACCCAGTGAATGCAGACTGAAATCCCAAAGATGAATTCCAGCACTTGCAAAGAAAAAAAAATCAGAACCATTTGCTTTTACTGTTTCTTCTTAGTGTTAAGTTCTCTATAGAAACATTAGTTGTGACGGAGCTTGAAACCACCCCAGAGCCCTCAGAGAAGAACTGATCTGCTAGAACGTGACTTTAGAACGACTTTCTTGCAGAGCACCTATTTATGCTTTAACCTTCACTTTCTATCCTTAACAGATATTTACTCATTACAATCTGCGGTAGCCATGTAAGTGTTGATGGCACCAACTTAATTTGTATTAAAATTGCTCCTTTACCATTTACTGGTGGGGACATCACTGAAGCTCTCCTCTCTTCTACCTCTGCCATAGTCCCTTCTCTAATCCAGCCCATAACCTGTTGCAAGATTTGCTTTCCCTGAACTCCCTTGCATCATGCAGCTCCCACACCCAAAACTTTAAGGGCTTTCAAATGCCCCTGTGATAACATCCAGTCCCCTTAGCTTGACCTCAGTGTCCTCCATAATCTGATACCAGGTCCCACGATCCCCACCCCTTACCTACCCTCATGCCCCACCACCTGGCCTTTGTCCTTGTGGGTCTTCCTGGAGCAGACATTGTGTATCCAACTCTGACCCCCACTCTTCAGGGTCCACCTCAAGGCACGCTTTCAAATTCTATCAGCTTCCTTGGCCATTATAAGTCTATGACTTCCCCCTCATCTCTAAAGAGGTAGAATACACACTTTTGGGGGGGGGGCTTAAATCTTCCAGTCACACTGAACACTGATAGGTGCCAGTAAGAGCTTCATAGTTAATATAAGGAATCACAGAGATGGAATCAAGTTTAGATTATCCTCTAATTCGGCATGTTCCGAAGTGTAGAAAATTCTCCTTGCACATGTTCCTGTCTGGGTGAACACTTAACAGGGTGCTGTTACTTAAAATGTGGCTCTTTCCTCCCTGAATTGCTCTTATAATTAGAAGCACCTGATCTTTAGGGAAGAAAAACCCCATTCATTCAATTGCAGTCAGGTGAGAATCTAATGTTTCCAGAAAAGAAAAGAAAAAAAATAGGAGAGGGAGAGAATCCTCTTGCTGGCCTGAGTGAGATTTCCCTGAGTCCAGCTGTAATCCCTCATGCCTGTTTTCTCCCAGAACCACTGTAAGCACAGCCCACAGATCTGCCCTGTCAGCATCGCCCGCAGCTTGTCAGAAATGCAAATTCATGGGCCCCAGCCCACACCAATTGAACTGGCAACTCTGAGGGTAGGGCCCAAGAATCTTGAGTTTCGAGGGACTGCATCACCCATCTGAGACGGAAAACAGCCGGCCGAGGTCTGTATCTTTGCATACTTCAAAGGAGTGTCACTCTGCTCTTTCTCTCCAATTAAAACATCTCACAACTCCACCTCAGTTATTTTGGCAACACGTGGTCATCCACGCCTCCTACATTTGACAGACAGGAGAGGGCACAGGTAGAGAACAGTCCCCATGCCTCCAGATGTTACCACTCTGGGGCACCAAGAGAAAAAAAAAAAAAAAAAAAGAACAGCTCCAGGCGACCGCATTAGAAAACCCCCTTTTAAAAGAGTCGCAAGCAGCTTAATTTCCTTTCAAGCTTAGCCGGAAAAGGTTTCTGTGGTGTGGACTCCACCTGGGCCGGGCGGCGGTTCCGCACGCCGCGGGCGTGGCGTGGAAGGGGAGCGCGCTGAAGGGGAGCCGAGGACGACTCGCGCTCCCGTTTCGAGGGGTTGCTTGGGTAGTGTTTATCTCGCTCTCCCAACATACATGCACACCCTCTCAGTGTCTTGTCACGAAAGGCGAACCCTGCATTGTGTAGACAAAGAGTCGCAGAACTAACTTTCGAAAGAAAGAAAAGAAAAAGTAAAAAAAGAGAGAGAGAGAAAGAGAGAGAGAGAGAGAGAGAGAGAGAGAGAGAAAAGCACCGCGCAATCTCCCCAGAGGGCAAAGAACCGCGCTGTTTGTTCTTCTGTAACTGAGCAACACCCCGGGCGACCGGCGCAGCCTGTATCTTCTGCGGTTTTGCTTGTTCTTCCCCGCGTGGGTTCAGTTCCACCCTCAGAACCCTCCAGAAGTGAAAATTCAGGCGGGGCGGCCGCAGCCCCCAGGCGGCCAGAGGCGCGCGCGGGCCCCAGCTGCAGGGGATCCCGGACCCGGAGCCCTGCTCAGCCCCTTCCTCCGCCCGGGCGGGTAAAGGGGCGGGCTCAGGCTGCCCGGGCGCTGCGCCCCGCTCGCTGTAGGGGTCGCTGCGACGCGGCGCGCGCTCCCACCGCGGAGAATAACGGGGCCGGGCTGCAGGAGAAAGGAAACCTGCCCGGGACGCGGCGGCGGCCGGGACGGAGCGAGGGACTAGAGTTCACTTTTGCTTGGGTGTGAGCGCGCGGCGGCCGCAACGAGCGCCGACCGGGGAGCAGCGAGCGAGCGGGCCGCCCATCTCGGGGCGACCGAGGGAGGGCAGCGAGAGGCCGGACACGAGCGCCCCGGAGGGGCGCGGAGCCGGCGAGCCTGGCCAGCGAGCGGAGCCGCGGGGGGCGCGCCTCGGGCGGGCCCCCAGAGCCGCGCAGGATGCCCCACGAGGAATTGCCGTCCCTGCAGAGACCCCGTTATGGCTGTAAGTACGCCGGGTGCGCACGGCTTCCGCCGGCCTTGGGGAGCCCCCTCCCCGGGGAGTGCGTTGGAGAAGCCGAGGGAGCCGGGTGCGCGCCGCGGAGGGAGCGGGAGGGCAGCGGCTGTGTCGTTGGCAAAGTTGAGAGCTGAAGTTGCAGAGGGGAGTGAGCAGCCTCCTGCCGTTCTCCCCACAGATTCCTGTTCCTCAGCTGGTAACCCCACTCCTTCTCCCGGAAAACCCGCCTGGGGAGAGTGGGCGGCGCTGGGTTGCGCTCTGGACCAGGCCAGGTTGGGGGTTTAGGGGTATCAGGTGAGGAGCCCTCGGAGCTCCGGGCCGCTGCCGCCTGGGGCCGGGGGGTGGCGTAAGGGACCGGATCGTGCCGACTCCGAAGGAAAGTTTGTTTGCTGTGGCTACAGGTGGGCGCCGCAAGTGCTGTGCCCACGCACTCCACCAGTGGCAAAGGCGGCTCTCCTGGAAGGGCAGGTGTCTCCCTGCCTGCTCGCTCGAAATGCCCCCGAGCAGCAAGAGCCAGTTTGCACCCCACTGACGTGAATCCCATACTGGTGCTGCTGCACCGGGCAGCGGCCGGACCCAACCCCTGTCTTCCCTCCTGTTCCCTGCGACCCTGTCAGGACTGCTACCAGGAGAGGACGCAGAGCTGGGCTCCCCAGGATCCGGCCCGAGCCCGCGTGACTTGACCGAGATGGTGTAGATTACCCTGCCAGGGACTGCGGTTCGGAAAGAGGTTGCTCTGGCGGATCGTGAGTGGATGGAGCTAGATTAGCACCAACCACGTGGCTTCATGGACAGAGTTCAGAGTCTTCGCTAAACGTGTGCCAGGAAGTATTTCCTTTAAAACAAACAAAAAATTGGCGCTCCGTCTCCATGGTTGGCCCTGTCCGTGAACCCGTGGCCGAAGACCACTGGTTAATCTTTTGCCCTGGCTTGGCCTTGTGACAGAGGAATCAGGTTGGGGTTAAGGTGGTGAGACCTGCCGCAGGGTTGTTTCATGCGTTTGGGAAGGTGGGGCGGCCGGTCGGGAGGGCCGGACACTTGCCCAGTTAAACAGAGGGAGTAACTTGTGGAAGTTCTTCCTCTGCGCTGGGCTGCGAATGGATTGTCAGAGATAGGAAGTTCGTTTTGCCATGTGACCCTTTTGGTGTCAGGCAATGAGGAAGAAGCCCGGGGAGCCAGCCGCAGCCTCTGTACAGTAGTGAAATGCACAGAACAGTTGGTCAGGACCCAGTTCTTTGCAGCCTGGATGACCCTTGAGTAAACCACAGAGCCAGCAGAGCTCTTTGCATTCAAGGAGGCATGCTGCGGTCATTCAGTGTGTGTGGTGTCACCCACAGGTTGGTGAAAGGCTTTTGTTGATGTGACAAGCTCCCAGCACAAATGGTAGCTTCTCTGGGTCAAATTAGAAGATGACTACGAAGTCTGGAAATGAGGCACAGACACATCAAGAAAGGGCTTTCCATACCACATCTTCATGCATGGTGTAGTTGGTGGGTCATCTCTTACTAGTTCAATATGCTTGTGCAAAGTGGCCGTGAACAAAGGGCATGAGTCACCCGTGGAGACGGAGAGATCTGTGATGTTTGCTTGATTTTTATTTTTTCCATCGAATGTACCTGTGGACTTAGCATACTCCAGGAGCAACAACCGAAGGGGTTTAGATCCTATAACCACAACACTCCACATGGCCACTTTCTTTGGAAAGTGTTGTCCAGGTTTTCTCATGAGTCTGGTGTGATGGGATGTTGTGCAGCCTTATTGGAATCACTCCCACCTGCTTTCCCCCAGCTCACGACCTGCTTCGGTCATGGAGTAAAAGAAACCTGTTTGATAGTTTCCACACTTTATGGTCACCCTAAAATATTAAGGCTTTCATAAAGTAGCCTGCTAAGTCCTTAAAATGAACATTTCTGAAATTTGCAACTAGACTCATAATTAATTTTAAAAGAACGTAGTTGAACACACTTGAGTGTTAGCCAGTGTTAGGTAACATACTATTCGTGCAAAAGGAGACTGTGGTGTATCAGAATACATAATTTCTGGTAGTGGATTGATTGGGGGGAGGGTAGGTCTCCGTCAACACTATGTCCTCACTGCAGACAGTGCTGTGA